ATGGAGGCAAACAGAAACGAACACTATGCACTCATTCACACTCCCCAGACATACTCATGTACTTCATGTACTTATTAATACACACTTCAAAGGCCTGCATTAGAGTGCATTGGTGCACATTTGGGCATCTTTTATTTAGCATGGTTATACCATTGTGAATTTTGCTATATAAATATGCTTAAGAGTTTTGCATATTTTTTGACATCCAGCTAAAAACTTGAAAATATTCTTTTTAGAATCAGTAAAATTGCATATCAATGGGTTTTTTTAGACAACAAATGAGTCACGTTTTTAACACAGTTTGAATAATCAGCACTGACAGACAGACATTAATGGAAGCACAGGTTATAACAGACATGCGCGTGAAAGGACCGCGGGTGTCTTGGAGCAGAGAAATACCCTGTATTGTTGCTATGATCTTTTGCATAAGCAATGCCCAACTGTGAGAAACGCTCTGTGCAGGTAGCAAAGCTGCTTCCAACGCACGTCCAGGCATCAACTGGTCTTTCCGCCAGCCTTTATACATAGCATATGCCAAGCAGAATCAGTGGGAGATAAATAATATGTAGCCTTTGAATTAAACATCTACAATTTAAAGAGACACACAGGTCAGTACCTCGCTATTGTCTCTAAACATTAAGATCCATAAAATATTCAGAAAAACAGAAGGGGAGGACACATGAAACGAACAAAGCTGACAGTTCTGGAGGGGGGTGCGCACTCTCATTTCACAAGTTGGCTTATATTTTCCCAGAAAGACAGAAAAACCACACTGTTAAAACCTGTAAAAATGCTGAATCAAGAAAAAAAGATTCACATTATGTTTCACCATGTTAAAAACAATCCAGCAAAGCTGCTTCTAACACACACTTTGATCTTTCAGATCAGCGTCTAAAAAAGCACCATTAAATAAATTTGATCCTGCATCTATGAAAGTAATTCCTGTTTGTATAATTCACACTGAAACCAAAATACACACCACGGTTGATCAACAGAATTAATACAGTGTTGTCCACAGGTATCGGAGAAGTTGTTCTGAACCTGTCTCCCGGAAACCAAACACAGCGTATCAGCACAAATACCTCATAACAACTGCGCAGCCCAGTGGTGGAGCAATGGTGATGCGGGCTGGCTTCACACCCAGGACCTGGGCGCATTGCAGTCATTGATTCAACCATAAGCTCTATATGCCTAATTACTCTAGATTCAAATGCGATGTCTGACAGCTAAAGCTTTACACCCTCCTACTCCCCCCCTGCACCCCTGCTACAGTCACATGTGAAAATGATCCCAAGCACAGCAGCAACAACACCAACAGAATGACTGAAAATGAAAGAATGAAGGTGTTGCAATGGCCCAGTCCAAGTTTGAAATGCTGTAGTGCAGGGGTGTCAAACTCAAATACACAGTGGGCCAAAATTCAAAACTGGAACAAAGTCGCGGGCTAACGT